AAGAGATGTGTCTCCTTAAAACTTTGCCAATTTAGTTTTGTCCACTGAAGCAGAAAATAGCGACTCTTGAGCCTCTTGTGTTGTGAAGATTGGGTCTATAAGGGTTTTTTGCTTTCCAAGGATTGGACACACCATGGCATAGCAAATCAATACAGAATGCTTAACTGTAGCAGACAACTTCCCCAACAACAAAGTATTGTTCTGCGTAAACTTCATCCTTCTAGGTTTTCCAAGTTGCTGTTGCTACATAAATGTATCTTTAACACTCAGTCCTTTATATTCAGTCATGTAATACTCAGTTCAGACAAATGCCTCAAAGTCTATAAAGTAGCATATAACTTTTCCTTTTTCCAAAAGGTCTTCTGAAAGTTAGGATAAGTTACTGACAGTTAAGATGTTGTTTCAGTGTGGTTGCTCGCCTTCTAGTAGCTGTTAAGCTCCTGGCAAAGCTCCAAGTGGGACTCCCACTTGGATATGCTATTCACCATAGCATGTGGTCCAGGCAGTTGAATGAGAGTCTCCTTGCCTGCTTGTAATAGTTGCCAATCTCCAGATATTGTCTCTACTTCCCCATCTGTGTGCCACTTGTTTGCCATTTTTTCATGGGTTTGTCAAAAACCAGATAAACCTTATTGCCTTCTTTGACAAAGTGACTAAATTAGTGGATAATGGGAATGCTGTGGACATTGTTTATTTAGATTTCAGTAATGCATTTGGCAAAGTAGTCCATAGCCTACTTCTTGGTAAGATAGAACAAAGTGGAATAGACAAGACAGTACCACCACCAGATGGATTTGCATTTGCTGACCACCCATATTTAGTGGGTAGTCCTCAATGGACCTACATCTATGTGGAGAGAAGCATGCAGTGGGGTACGTCAAGGTTCTGTCTTAGGTCCAAGCACTCTTGAACTTCTTCACAAATGGTTTAAATGAGGGGATAGAACGGGAACTCATTAAATTTACAGATGACATGAAGCAGGGAGGAATAACTCAAGATTCAGAAGGACCTTGACTGACTTGACCACTAGGCCCTATCCAACAATATGAAATTCAATGGTGAGAAAAGCAAGGTCCTTCACATAGGCAAGAAAAATCAAGTGCACACATATAGAGTTAGTGGTACCTGGCAACTGTGAAAGAGAGCTAGGTGTCCTAGTAAATCATCATTTAAATATGAGCCAGCAGTGTTCTTCAGCTGCAATAAATTAAGTAAGTAAGTAAGTAAGTGAGTGAGTGAGTGAGTGAGTGAGTGAGTGAGTGAGTGAGTGAGTGAGTGAGTGAGTAAGTAAGTAAGTAAATAAATACAGCCCTAGATTGCATTAATAGAGGGATAGTTTCAAGCTCATGTGAAGTGATAGTACTACTTTATACTGCACTGGTGAGACCACACATGGAATACTATGTTCAATTTTGGTCACCATGATACAAAAAAGATGTTGAAATCCTAGAAAAAGTGCACAGAAGAGCAACAAAAATGATAAGGGATCTGGAGGCTAAACTACATGATGAATGACTGAGGGAACTAGGTATGTCTAGTCTGATGAAGAGAAGAACTAGGGGTGATATGATACCAGTCTTCCAGTACTTGAGGGGCTGTCATAGAGAAAAGGGAGTCAATTTATTCTCCAAAGTTTTTTCCACGGACCGGAGAGTGCTGCCTGCATTCCATGGATGGGGCTTTGCTTGTTTGTGCAGACCGGTTGCTGGCATGCTGCGGCCCGGTACCAGTCCATGGACCAGGGGTTGGGGACCCTTGAGTTATAGAATCTCCTGCTGTGGGCAGGGGCTTGGACTAGAAGACCTACAAGGTCCCTTCAACCCTATTATTCTCTGTCCCTATACTCTTCCTCACTCCATCTTAGCATTTGCTTTTGCAAGCTAAGGGCCTGAGTGGAGAAAATGCCAGGGTGTGGCTCAGTTATCACAATCAGCTGCAGACACCAGCTTGGATGCTTGTGAGTAAAGTTGTGAGTTAATGAATGAATGGAGGAAATGGGGTGAGAAGTGTTTCTACCTGGCTATAGTTACTTTTCCCAACTTCACTACCTCATAGAGACATTTGACAGTTCTTATGTATTACTTTTATAAAAGAACCACATGGCTTGTAAACTGCTACTACCCATTCTGTTTTACATGTATCTCTTTGCAGGTCCCTCGTGCATTTGTGAACCTGGCAACAGTTCTTGATGTGATACCTGTGAGGAAATTGTATCAGGAGAAGAGCATTTACTGCCCAAGATTGATTATGAGGTTTGAAATGAATTGATATTGTGCTGGAACTGGGAAAAATCTCTAATATCTGTGTTGATTGTGGCTCTTCTTAAACTTAAGAAATTGCTTTTTACTAATTTTGATTGTTGTGATATGGAAATATAAACTAAGTACGCACCATTTATCAAAAGGTATAGAAATAGTCTTGGAAGAGTCATAGATTATGGGGGGGATTTGTCATCAAATCTGCTCCATAGAGAGAGAAGAGATGATATAAAGAGGGAGAGAAGGATATAAAAGGGAGAGAAGAGAGGATATAAAAGAAGGAGAGAAGAGAGGAAATTTGTTAAATGAGTTTTGCCCCATTTTATGATTTTTCTTGCCACCTTTGTTAAGCGAATCACTGCAGTTGTTAAATTAGTAACATAGTTGTTAAGTGAATCTGTTTTCCCCATTGACGTTGCTTGTCAGAAGGTTGCAAAAGGGGATCACATGACCCTGGGACAATGTGACCATCATAAATATGAATTGGTTGCCAAGCATCCGAATGTAAATCACATGACCCTGGGGATGCTGCAACATGCTCCGCCCGGCGGAGCCTGACGGTGTCAGGCGGAAGATCCGGCCTGGACTCGGCCTGGACCCGGCCTGTTGCAAAACCTGGCCTGGACTCGGCCGCGGCCTCGATTACAACGGAGGCCACGGCGGTTTCAGATTTCAGATTTGGAGACCGCGGCGGCTGAGGCCGCGACGGAGGTGACGGATGCATCCGGACCCGGACTTGGCTGTGACGGCCGTGGAGGCTGCGACGGACGCAGATCTGGCCGGTAATCCGGCCTGCGGCCTGGCGAGGTAACCCGGCCTGGACCCGGCCCGATGGAAAGTCTGGCCTGGAGGCCGCGACGGATGCAGACCTGGCCGATAATCCGGACCGCGGCTTGGCGAGGGCGGAGGCCGCGATGGTCTCGGACTCGGCCGGCGGCTTGGCCGCGGGTTCGGCGAGGAGGCTGCAGTCCGGCGGCCTGGCGGCCTGGCGAAGGATCCGGCTTATTGACTCGGCCCGGCGGCCCGGTGGAGGATCCGGCCAGAAGAACCCGGCCGTGGATCCAACTTCAGCGGCCGGTCGTCTTGTTCATTCCAGGTCTTGAAAACGGGAATTGACCATCAAGAGGACTTGTTCCCCCCCCCATGTGTATTTTTCTGTTGCGGGACCTCGTACTCATGGTTGTAGCATACTCCAGGGCGGAACTGCTGGCCCTGCGCGATTCCCCCCTCGCGCAGGCACGGCCCAGTATAATCTTGAGGGCCGTCCTTAATGACGGGGCTCGGAACCCCCAGAGGTGCGCAGCAAAACAAAAACAAAAACAAGAACTGAAGAGGAGGAAACTGAGAACTTTTTTACTGGGATGTTTCAACAAATTTTTAGGGGGTACGGGGAGGGCCGGGGGGGGCATGGGGGATGCCTCTCGGGGGCCAAGGCCGGGCCTGTCGGAGGGACGCGGCGTGGGAGTGGAGGGGGAGGTGGTTGGGGGGCCAAGAGAGGGTGGTAGGATTAGTACGGTCAGTGGGAGGGGCAGATACGGCGGGAGCAGAGGACCATATCGGGTTTGGGGAGCACGCACACGCTGTTTACAAGCGTGTGGGTGCTCCGGTCCTCAGGGCTCTACTCGGTCTCCAGGGATCTTAGATCCT